ACTTCCAGGAGTAAACAGATTAGGCATCTTTATTTCTCTGTAGTATGGTAGGGAGGGGCCACCCAGTTAGCAAGAACTCAGTAAAGATCAGCTAAGAGAACACTTTGCCCTGCTTCTGAGTGGCCTGATTGGAAATGAATACTATCTGGAGGAAATGCAAGTCTAGACAAGAATCAGTTCACGGCCATCAGTGGAATTTGAACATGGTCATAGGATGCCGTGCCAAGTGGCCATTTCTCCCTCATTCTCTCTGCTCATTCTTTGCAGCTGAATGGGTTGTTCCTGGTTTGCTAAGGGTGTAGTAGATTCTTGGAGAGATTAGATACACCTCTAACACCTATCTTAAAAGGCCTGGAAATGAATTCACTGATGCGTACTGAAAATGTCACGTTCATGGATGCCCGTAACTACCCAGTCATTCCATTCCTTTGATCTTCTTTCATCCTTCATTACACCTTCGATTCAACTACTTGCTTTGTTAACTGCCATCAAGTCAACCCTCAACTCATAGCAACTCCATGTACAACTGAACAAAAAGATGCCAGATGGGTCCTATGTCATCTCCATAATTGGTGGCGAAGTTGACTGTTGTGGTCTAGAGTATTTCCATTAGCTGATTTTGAGAAGTAGATCACCAGGCCTTTCTTCCTGCTCCATCTTAGAAAACTTCACAATCCATGTCAGATTCATAGCTGCATGTAAGCCTCCACTGACAGGTGGGTGGTACTGCTCCCGAGGTGACTTAACCAGGAATTGAATCCAGTTCCCCTGTGAGGAAAGCGAGCTTTCTACCACCCTCAGAATCTTCCAAAAGTTTCATTTCAAGGAGGCAGATGGTAGAGCTCTTTAGCATGTTCATCCTCTGGTGGTATCACCATTGTTTTTGTTGGTTCTCATTTCCTCTTATTCTCCTCTGTCCCCTTTGCCTTGTCACATACTTCCCTTCAGAACCTCTTGAGTGTTTCTGGAAGAAGAATAAACCAAACTGGTTGCTGATCAGTTGATTCTGACTCTTGAGGACCCCATGTGTGTCAGAGTACAGCTAAACTCCACAGGACTTCTAAGGTCATGATCTGTTGTAAGCAGATAACCAGGCATCTGTCTTAGGTGCTTGTGGATGGGTTTAAACCGCTCTTGGTTTGTGGGAGAAGAATAAAGTGGCACAAATAAGGATAAGGAAAATTTGAAAACCCTAGGCTACAAAATTGAACATGCTGGTTTCATGTACAATATATATATATATATTAATGTATTTCACTTTTTAGGAATCTGAAGCTTTATTTCTCAAGGCAATTAAAGCTAATCCAAAAGCTGCAAGTTACCATGGTAATTTGGGTAAGGAAATTTTTCAGTTTGAATCACACTGAAATTCTTTGTAATTTTAATGAAATCCATGCATTCCTACAAAATCAGTGTTTGAAGAATGATTTTTCAGAATCTAACCTGTATTGTCCTCAATAATCTGGGCAAAAACACATTTTAAAAGTTAAAATAAAAAGGCAGCTAAATAACAGTCATAACTTACAAATATTACTACATGACCAAAACATTGCCAAAATTTCGCACTCAGTTGCCCACCTTCTCATGATTTAAAACTAGGATTTCTTTCTCCATGTGAAAGATCCTAGAGTGATATGTAAGTTGGAAAGGACATTGGCAGTGTACTTCCTGCCTCCTTTTTCCATCATGGACCTTCCATTGAAGGCTGGTCCTCTTTGCATTCTTCACTTCTCATGTGCTTTAGCTAAAGATGCATTTGCAATTACTTATTCCCCAGAGTTCGCTTCTTCCATGTTTACATGTTAATGCATACAATTTTTAGAGTGTAGCACATTGATTTTTAGAATCCTCAGTCACGTGAGTATCTTTTTCACCAAATCGGATCGTCATGGACAGCTCACAAACCCTGGTAGAAACTTCGTGTTCCTTATAAAATCATTATCACAGTCCTGTAATTAGATTTATTTCATCCATCATCTTATGACCAAGTCTTGATGTTAGAGCACTCATTGACAGCTGGCAATCGAGAAAAATTTTTAAGGTGATTTTTTTTTTTTTAAGTGTAGAAAAATCTTCCTTTAAGATAAACAGGCTAATCTGTCACATAGCCAAGGTTTTACACACTGCCTGGAAATTGTATGGCAGCCTGGAGAAATTGAATGTACTGTTCTTTTTCCTTCTTTATGTAATAATTTTACTGCAGGCAGATGTATCATATCTAGTGATATGAAGAACCCCAGGTGATTAGAATGGCCAATCAGCAGGGAGTTTAATTACAATAAATAAAGTTTGTGGTACAAACAATATTTTCTTAAACAATGATTTTTTAAAACTGCAAAGCTTCTATCATGTTTCTTTGTACACGTGATAGAGAATATTGCAAGTTATTCCAACGCATTTCCAATGAAATTCACTCCTTGCTATTTCAGCTGTGCTTTATCATCGTTGGGGACATCTAGACTTAGCCAAAAAGCACTATGAAATCTCTCTGCAACTTGACCCTGCTGCACCAGGAACGAAGGAGAATTATGGTCTTCTAAAAAGAAAGCTAGAACAATTGCAAAAGAAAGGCATCTGAACCTCATTCCTTTTCTCTCTCTGTTTTAAATTTGTGTGTGTGTGTGTGTGTGTGTGTGTGTGCATGAGGTATAGCATTAATATTACATGGTTACATTTAACCATTTAAAAGGCCTAGACATATTGTTTATTTTATTCTGGTTGCTTTTTCCTAAGAGGGAAAAAGAAAAGAATGCAAAAAGATTATAGCACCAGCAATATACTCTTGAATGCTTGATGTGGTTTTTGCATTGAAGATGTATATTTTCAGACAACTCACATGTAAACCCTAAAATTCCAAGAATAAACTCTTTTTTTAATTAAAAAGAAGAGAAAAAACTATCTTGTGCGGCCTTTTGTAAGATTCCACCTGCATTTGAGATGTGAGCCTGTGAGTTTTGTGTATATAGACGAACCCTATTAAACTTCTCCTGTAACCCAGAAATGACAACTGATTCTTGACAATTTATATAAATGCCAAACATGTCTGTATATGAGAATTTTTATTTAATGACCAGAAAAAATAAATTAAGATTTTGTTTTAATTCTTTTTTAAAAAGTAATAGACTATAAGCTTCATTTGTAAGGAAATATTTATTTGTATCCTAATGTTTGAACAGAGCCAATAATTGAACGCAGAATGAAAATGTTAACATCTAGGATATCTATGTACTTTTTCCTCTTTAGGAAGAAATTGATTACTGCAATATTTTGTTGGATTCTTCAACTTGTGCAGTTTCAGTATATAGAAATTATATTGTGTTCTCCATAAACTGTCATTTTCAGTAGAAAACCTGAGCCCTGCTTTAGGCTAAAGCAGGCAGCATGATATCTTAGTTTTTGTTATGTATCCAGCATTAAGAGGGCTATACATTGATGTGAGTTACTTTTTAATGTTTTTAACTGTAAAGCAATTTTCCATTTTGTTTAATAGAACTGCAAAAATGACTAAATCTCCACAAAATGCAAGAAGTTACATTCCTCTCAGAAAGAACCACATTTGGGAAATTTGTGGTGTTTTAAAGAATTGGATTTTTGTCTTCTTGTATTTGCACTGTGGTAAAGATGTTCCTTTTGTTTTGTCCTTTTACATATGCTTTTGACCTAATTTATGAAAGTTTATGCAATCTCTGTAATTTCTTATGCAGTAAAATTATTATATAAATTTGATATGAAAATGTCAGATTGCCTTCTTAATAGATGATTTTCAAGTTAGCAGACTTTGTTTCCTACTTTTTCTTAAACTGAAATCAAAGTAACCATTTCATCTTTTTCTAGTGTGTGTCTTCTATGTAGTTTTCGTTGTTTGGTTGACTAAATGCCATGGAGTTGGTTCTGATACAAAGAGATCCAATCTAGGGTTTCTGAGGCTGTAAATCTTTATGGGAACAGAAAGCCTCATCTTTTCTCCCATGGAACAGCTAGTAGTTTTGAACTGCTGGCCTTGAGGTTTAGCAGATCAGATTTTAACCATTACGCTTTTAGGGGCTACTAATAGAATTGTGGTGTCCTGGTGTGGTGCTTTGGGTTAATGTGCCAGACTGCAAAGCCGTTTGAACTGCAAGGTTGGCAGTTCAAGCTCACCAGTTGCTCCTTGGAAATCCTATATAGGGTCACTATGGGTCGGAACAGCCTCGGTGGCACTTAACAACAACAATAGAAGTGTACTATAGAATTATCCCAGTTAAGAGAAAGGGGTGAATATTGTTGTTAGGTGTCATTGAGTTGGCTCCAACTCATAGTAACACAACAAAATGAAACACGACCCAGTCCTATGCCATCCTCACAATTGTTGCTGTGTTTGAATCTATTATTGCTGCCACTCTGTCAATCTATCTCATTGGGGGTCTTCCTCTTTATTGGTCATACTCCACTTTAACAAGAATGCACCTTTTTACAATGAATGCAACATAATTCCTCTTCAATTTGTGATTCCCAGTACAGTAAACCATATGATTATTTGATTTTAAATGCCCAGTTCATTTTACCTCACTAGGATATCTATCAATCTTTATGTGTTCCTTTCATTTTTGACTACTTCCCATTTTCCTAGATCCATACTTCATTCGGAATGCTAATGGATATTCCATGTTCAGAATATTAATGGATATTTTCAGCTGTTTCTTCCCAATGTGATTTGTGCTGCATCAGGAAATGTAAGTCCCAAATGCTTTGTTCCATTCGCATCATTAAGTAGCTTTTCTTTGAAAAGATAGCTCTTTCCCAGTCATATTTTAAGTGCCTTTCAACCTGAGGGGCTCATCTTCTGACACTCTATCAGACAGTGTTCTACTGCTATTTATAAAGTTTTCAGTGGCTAGCCATTCAGAAGTGGTCTATCTCTCCTTCCTAGTCCTAGTCTTACTACTCCACTGAAATCTGTCTACCATGGGTGACCTTTCAGGTATTTAAAGTACTGATGGTAATAGGTTTCAGCATCACAGCAACACACAAGCCACCACTGTACAACAAACTGACAGATAAGTGATCAAAGGGACAAATAAACTCACGTTAAAATGAACTTATGAATTCTATACTCATCTTTTGAAGGACAGACCTATGTAGAATTGTAAATCAGTAATTCACATTTATGGTGGTTGAGATACATCCAAAAAGAAACAGCCTTCTGTTTCTCAAACTTTTCTTAAATGGCCCTAAAATATCATCAATAATTTATATATCTCTTACTGGCAGAAACTGTCTGATTCTTATTTATGCCTCTACAGTGCCTAGCTGACAGATTATAGATGTACTATATGCCTTGTTGGAGTCCTGGTGTGGTGCTGTGGGTTAATGCGTCAGATTGCAAAGCCGTTTGAACTGCAGGGTCAGTAGTTCAAGCTCACCAGCTGCTCCTTGGAAACCCTATACAGGGTCGCTATGGGCCAGAACTGACTCAACGGCACTTAACAACAGGAACAACAAAATGTGCTTTGTTGATTTTTTTAAAACAAGTTCTTTAAAACTGTACTGGGCTTTTTAGGTAGAGAACAAATGACATTTCATGTAAAAAGCCCTTCAGGATTCATTTTATTTTCTACTGATACATTTTACTATCAAATCAAGACCCACAAATCTGGGATTCCTGCCTACAGAACTAAGTCCCTTAACATTCACTGATTTAGCTCTTAGGATTTCCATTGCAGCTGTTTTCTTTCCAGAGAAAACCATCATTAATTTGACAGATATTTCAGGAAGTCTTTTATCTCCGCAGATTTTGAAATTGTACCACTTGGGCTCTGTTCTTCCTCCTTTTCTTCATCTTAAGGCAGCAGCTGACATGAAGGATGTCTCCCAGCTTCCCTCTTATTGGATACACATATTAATTTTAATTTTTTTATTTCTTATCACAGTCTGGGGTGGAGAAAACCAAAACAAACATGGGTATATTTGTCTCCTAGAGCTGCCCTAACAATTTACCACAGACTATGTGGTTTATGCATTTATAACCTGGAGACAAAACGTGTTTCCAAAATGTTGTACCTCTCCTTCATCTTAGGTACCAACTACTATTCCTCCCCTCAGTATTCTTCCTTACATCTTAGGGTTTGGTAATTTACAGGAACATCTCACAGAACTCACAAAAAACATCAAGGAAATAGCTCACAGGGTTATAAAGGTTATCAAGTCCCAATCCAAAGCCCTGACGTCACTCTGAGAATTCTTCTCACTCATGTGATCACAGGAGCTGATGAGGCCACATCGACAGGTCAGACAATTCACAAGGCTGTATAAGTGGCGGTTCAGGCCAGGCAATAGGCCACTGGCTCACACTCCAAGAACTGGAGGTCAGACGGAGACAAGCCAGATGCACAGAAACTCAAAACAACAGAAAAGGAAAGAAGCAACTCTTACTTCAGTGGCCAAGCGAAGACGCCCACCAGGACTCTTGCCACCACGATCACGCCACAGTCCTGGGTCTATTATGGGCTTTTAAGGCAGTAACTGGAATCCTGGGATGGTACTGTGGTATAAAACACTGAACTACAAGATCAATTTGAACCACAAGATGGGTGGTTCAAACTCACCAACTGCTCCTCGGAAACTCTGTGAGTCGGAACTGAGTCAACAGCACTTAACAGCAAAGGCAGTAACCAGCATGTGATTGAAATTCATCAGAATGATTCTGCACAAGAATGAGTCAGTCAGGAAGCAGGGTTACAAAGATGGTGTTTTGCCCACATCTAGGGCATGGAGTCCTGGTATGTTGCTGCAGGCTAATGTGCTGGACTACAAGGTCGGTTTGAATCACAAGGTCGGCAGTTCAAGCTCATCAGCCACTCCTCAGAAACCCTATACAGGGTCACTATGAGTCAGAATTGACTCAATGGCACTTAACAACAACAGGGCATTGATGGAGGTGTTTTCAGGCTCAAGATATCAAAAGGTCATGTTGAGGGGATGCAAAATGGGCCAGTTCAGTGACTTAAGCCTTTTGTGTTTCTTAAACAGAAAGCTAGTAGCTTGACTAATAAGGGACAAACTCAAAACAGGAAGTTCTATTTTAGCAGAGGAGCTCTGGTAGCATAGTGGTTACGAATCGGGCAGCGAACCGCAAGGTCAGCAGTTCGGAACTACCAGCTGCTCCACAGGAGAAAGAGAAGGCCTTCTGCTCCCGTAAAGATTTACAGCCTCGGAAACCCTGTTCAGGGTCTCTATGGGTCGGAACCGACTCGATGGCACTTAACAACAACAACATCAAAGATGGCAGCTAATTTGGGGGTCTTAAAAACATTCTTATATAATGGATGCAGACCATATCCCCCAAGATAACTTCAGATGGTGACTTGAGGTACACCCCTTAATCCTGCCTCATTTACATCAGCACCTCGTTTTTGGTTCTTCATAACTTACTTTCTTTTGTTTTGGTTTTTACTGTCCAGGGAGGAGTCCCAAGAATGTGATGGTTCCCAACAACTTCAGACTAGAGGTTTTCATCCAGAACTAATTTAACTTTATAAATCAAGAAATGTGTGATTTAACGATGGTATATACATATACATATGTGTGTGTGTGTATATA